TTTCTCAATTGAGAACACAAGCCCCTCAATCCCTGACAGAATGGGGAAAACATGACATTTTTCTCAATCCCCTTTCTTTGTTCTCCTCTCACTAATCTCTAGAGCCCACGTCGGGAGAGCTGCTGGCCACGCCGGCGAGTAGTTCTGCCGTGCTGGGAAGGCCGCCGCCACGTCGGAGGGCCACGCCACACTACCCCATGCCCCACACCGCGCCAACCGGTAGCCACCACCGCGCAATGTCGCACACCGAGCGAGCCTGCGCCACCATGCCAGGGCGCATTGCCGTATCGCGTCCGCTAGTCGTCGAGGGTTGCGCCGCATCGCGCCTTCCTGTACGTTATTGAGCTCCATGCGCGCTGCGCCGCACCTTGCTCTACCTTGCGCCCGTGCCCTCCATCCGTCGGGTCGACGTCGAGTCATCTGTCGAGACTCGAGACGGGATGAGACAAAAGGAAAGAGAGAAAGGAGAAAGATATATCTATTTAGGACTGACATGTGGGACCATGTATAAAGGGGTGATGTTTTCTCGATTCGCTGGAGTACACCTCCTCTATATCTATAATCTAGAATTCTATTTTCTCAATCCTCTATACCACCTTTTTATAGAAAAGGGGAAAACAGGATCCGGTGGAATTGCTCTAATAAAAGAGAGTTAGACAAAAGTGGACACTTCGCTTGTCAAATGGGCACACCATCGATGTTGGTTAGAGCAGCTCCAAGAGTTTTTCTTAAACCCACGCTCTAAATCATTATTTGAACAGCCATTTGAATAAAAATATTTTTAATATTTGGAGATTAATTGAATACCCATTGAAGGATATTTTTCTACTGAAATCTCTATTCCAATTAATAGGAAGAGTACAGCGATACTCTTGGAAATGCTCAGTGTTCAATCACAGACTACCATGCTGATGATGTGCTACCCTTGCGATTGGCTACAGTCAAAAAAATCGTTTGAATTTCCCGCTCGGCGTTACCGAAAGAGTTCCCCCATGTCAAGTCAGATGTGTTAACGCGCAAAATGACAAATCCTAGTGGCACCGACAGTTAGATCCGATAAGTGGAGAAATGGACACAAAAGATATTGTATAATTTGGGGTTTTCACAGGATGGATCTCCATGTTACCATCAAACATCAAAGCAGCGTTCTCCTTTTGAAATAATGACTTCAAAAATTTATACAAAAATATAGTCTATTTTATATAGTGTCTATTTAAATATTTAGCAAAGTTTGTTAAGGAAAAAAAACATAATTTAAAGAGAAACATCTTAATCAGGTTTAATTCATGAATACATATACCATTTAAGTATTTTTGGTTGAGTTAATTTAAATATATTATATTACAGGACGGAGAGAGAGTATATTGTATACTCGATATGTTACGTTACCCTTAATATTTGGACAAATAAGTCAAAATAATTAATTTTCTTCCACATTTACTCGGACCGAATTTGGATTTTTTGGGTCAAGTGCTAGCATGGTTGCATATCAAAAATAAGTAATTCTCAAGACTTAACCTATGACCTTCACACTCACACAACAGCTCCCTACCAATAATTACACACTCAACATGATGCTATATATATATATATATATATATATATATATATATATATATATATATATATATATATATATATATATATATATATATATATATATATTAAAATTTCATAAACTTGTATTGAATATTTTGGCTACTAGATGAACTTAAACGTAAAAAAGTTCAACTAAAATCCTTTATTTTTTTTCAAGCACTACAACTTTGGTACAACATGGTTGTTAAAAAAATAAATCTCAAATATGTGAATTGAAACAAATATTTGAGACAAATATTGCTAATATTTTATAATAAATTTATTTGGTGATACAAATGTTGCTAATATTTTTTTTATAAACCTAATTAAACTAAAAAAATTGTCCAGTATGAACTTAGCGATGCTCTTTTTGGATGGAGGGAGCTGTCGATTCCGGTTGCTGCGCCGCGGCAGGGACAACAAAACAACCGAGTGAGCAGTACACAACCGTCCTGATTATTTTAATAATCTATAATTGTTTTTATATTATATATGTAAATTTTGAAAATCTACCTAAGTAACGGGGGAGTATCATAACAAGGTACTACCTCCGTCCCCCAAAAATACAATTTTAGCACAGTGTCACATTTTAGTACTAATTATAAATAAAAAATATCTATATTTATGATACCAAATAAATACCATTATATTATTTACGAAATATATTTTTATAATAAATTAATTTAAATATATAACCGTGAATATTATTCACTAAAAACTTGATAAATATGAATCACTTTTCATAACACGCATCCTATAGTTGCATTCGGAGGTGGTACTACTATCAAAGCATCGTCATTTTGTACCGTTCTTTTATTAATGCAAGCAGTTTCCTTTCGGCGCTCCTCGGCCTACGCAGCAGCCTTTTTATTTCCTGCTTATTGTTGCACCAATATATTGTACTCCAAACTAGTGAGCTCGATCTGTGTACATATAGTATATATCAAGGTAACAGATCAGTGCCGTCCGTCCGGCTGGATCTCCATTGCTGCCTTCTCGGCTTGTCAGTTGTCACTCACTGTGACTGTGAAGCAAGAGAAGGCAAGCATGGAGGAGCCGCTCCTGAGCGCACCGTCGAGCACGGAAAAGCTTCTTCACGGGGTAGGAGGCAAGGAGGAGGAGGAGAGCTTGGCGTTGGCGGTGCGCGAGACGAAGCAGCAGCTGTACCTCCTCGCCGCTCGTCATCGGGTTCCTCCTGCAGAACCTGGTCCAGATGGTCTCCGTCATGTTCGTCGGCCACCTCGGCGAGCTCGCGCTGGCCAGCGCGTCCCTGGCCGCCTCCTTCGCCGGCGTCACGGGCTTCAGCTTGCTGGTAGGTGTGGTGAACATCACATCTCCCACCGTCTCTCTCAGCTCGTTTCTCTGATTTTCTCTCGTTTCTGTCCATGCTTGCATCGGAAGGCTGGCATGGAGTGCAGCCTTGACACGCTGTGCGGCCAAGCGTTCGGAGCGAAGCAGTACTACCAGCTGAGCGTCTACAAGCAGCGAGCCATGGTGGTCCTAGCTCTGGTGAGAGCATACCGGTGTCGGTGGTGTGGGCCTACACCGGTGAGATCCTTGTCTGGTGCGGGCAGGACCCGGAGATCGCGGCGGCGGCGGGGATCTACATCCGGTGGATGATCCCGGCGCTGTTCCTGTACGGGGCGCTGCAGTGCCACGTCCGGTTCCTGCAGACGCAGAACCTGGTGGTGCCCGTGATGCTGAGCTCCGGCGCCACCGCCGTGTTCCACCCGGCCGTCTGCTGGCTGCTGGTGCGCGCGCTCGGGCTGGGCAGCAACGGCGCCGCGCTCGCCAACGCCATCTCCTACCTGGCCAACCTCTCCTTCCTGGCGCTCTACGTCCGGCTCTCGCCGTCCTGAAAGTGCAGCTGGACGCAGGGGCGAAGCCCAGTTAAGGCCTGTGGGTGCCCAGGCACCCCCTCCAATTACAGAAAAACATTAGGAGTAAAAGAATTTGGCCCTATAGGCAACCCCCATGGCCCAAAACGAGGCACCCCCACCAGCCCAAAAGCCCACGCTGACGCTGCGCCACTTCCTTCCAGTGGAAGCAACATCGATCGGCCTCGCCCGCTCCCCTGCGCGCGCGATGCTTTGTTTCGCGGCTTCGCTGCCCGACGCCGCGCCCACGCGGATGCCTCGCCTGCCTCGCCCGCACCGCCGCGCCGCTGTCGCCGTGCCACCGCGGACGCCGCGCCACGCCGCCGTCGCCGCGCGCCCCTGCGGCTGCGGCCTGCCGTCCCTGCGCCGCTCTCGTCCTGCCCAGGCAGCTGGCAGCCCGCTGCCAGGCACCGAGCCGAGCAGGCCCCTGGAGGCGAGCGTCTGGAATCGCCGGCTGGCCGCCCTGCGCCCCTGCTTACGGTACTCTGTACTTCACTACTTCCTACATCCGGCGTTCCTGTGTCCCTGACGGTTGACGGTGAGTACAGTTAATCCTCGTTCCTCAATGAAATTAATTATATGTGAAATTATGAACTGCAATTTGGTTATGCAAATAAATGAATTATAGGTAATCATGGAGAGGTATTAAAAACGGAAAGCTCAAGACATGATCGATGCTAATATAATTTCATCTCCGGATGAAATCAATTGGGATGAGGAGATTAAATATGACCCCGGTTTGAGAAAAGAAATTGATGTTTATCATCCGAACCTAAGAGAAAAGGTAAGAAAATACTTTGGAGAATGGACCTTGCCAGCCTGGATAATTCTACATTTTTTTTGCTAAATAATTGATCTATTTGTTCTCTTTTCTTTAGGTTGGATCACATATTTTGGGGACATCTTTTGTTCATCGTTTTGGCATTCTTTGAATCACTACACTACAGTGATTAATGTCGTCTTTATTTTGTTATAAACGGTGAGTGTTATTGCCCTCGCTCCAACCAATTTACTTATGTTTTGACCAAAATCACATTGCCATTACTGAAAATTGAATTTTGATGTTAAAATTGTGTGTTAGTCATGCTACTTGTTTGAACATCACATGGGTCACTATATTTATGATGAAGTTGTGCACACCCACCCATTTGCTCTAGCTTCGCCACTGGCTGGACGGGGTTCTCCGCCGAGGCGTTCCGTGGCGTCCCCAACTTCCTGAAGCTCGCCGTGCCGTCCGCCGTCATGGTCTGGTGAGTTTTCACTTTCGGTGAGAGTGAGATTGAATTCATCGATCGATGCATTCTTGTGCTAGCTTCTTCCTCTCATGATCTCATCAGTCTGTTGTACTGGAAATGGACTGCAGCATGAAGTGGTGGTCCTTCGAGTTCCTGGTGATGTTCTCTGGTCTTCTCCCCAACCCCAAGCTCGAGACGGCCGTGCTGTCCATTTGGTAAAAGCCAATCCATTATCGATCTGAGCTTCGATCCTATCCTAGCTATGTATGTTCATCGGCCATTGCTCATGGTTTCTTCTCCTTTATTGTAGCTGGAACACCAACAGCTTCGCATTCATGGTTCCCCTGGGACTTGGTGGTGCCGTAAGCACGCGTGTGTCGAACGAGCTCGGCGCGGGGCATCCGCGAGCATCCCGGCTGGCAACCCGGGTGGTGGTGCTCCTGGCGTTGGCGGTGGGCGTGTCGGAAGGGGTTGTCATGGTGCTGGTGCGCCACCTGTGGGGGTACGCCTACAGCAACGAGGAGGAGGTGGTCCGCTACACCGCCAGGATGATGCCCCTCGTCGCCGTCTCCATCGTTTTCGACGGCCTGCAGAGCGTTCTTTCAGGTGAACTTTTCATTGGTTTTTACTCTGAACATTGTGAACAATGTCCTCTATGTGACTAATGTGAGTAGAGCAACAAACAGACTCAGCCTGATGCTCCTGGTATGCCGGTGTTGTTCGGGGCTGCGGCCGCCAAAAGGCTGGCGCATACATCAACCTCGCAGCGTACTACCTCGCCGGCATCCCTTCAGCGTTCGTGTTTGCCTTTGTTTGCCGTCTAGGAGGAATGGCACGTACTCTGCCTGCCCCATTCATTCAACAGTTTCTCTGCCTAGCTTCTTTGAATTTTCAATTTGAGAAGAGGTTCTTATTATCGCTGCTGGTTTGCACACTGAGTGAACAGGGCCTCTGGTTGGGCATCATGGGCGGCCTGGTGGTGCAGATGCTCCTGCTGCTCTCCATCACACTATGCACCAACTGGAACAAAGAAGTAAGCATAACAAGTTTTTGAAGCCGCGCATTTCGTTTGGTTTTCATGTTTTCGTCTAGCTCTGAAATCTGAGTCCTGCCTGCCGTTGGGTCTGCACTCTCCAGGCATTGAAGGCCAAGGATCGAGTGTTCAGCTCTGCTCTTCCTCCGTTAGATTAGACATGGCGGCCGGCCACATGAGATTGCGCGGAGCAGACAAGGGGACGCAGTCTTTGTTGCGATAACACTCAAGGAGAGGCATTGATTGGCACAACGAAGAAGAAAGGCTAGCTGGTGTGGTCGAAGGAATAATTTACCGATAATGGTCATGTGGCTGTTGAAGAAGTTTTGTCCGTCAATCTGTCTTTGAGGCATCAACGCAAACTAATGATTTGTTCCTTCTGACACCCAACCGGAACCGGGCCATATTGTAACCATCATAGTATGTTTAAGCTGCAAGCAGCTCGATAACTCTTTCTTTAGTCGTAACTGGAGTGCACAAGTAACTGTTGCGTAGCTCAATATGTCATCATTCGCACTAAAGAAGGAACCAACCAAACCAAATAAGCTACCTTAACAACCGACCTCAGTGTTAACATCACCAGAACAGAACCAAATCTCCCCCACGTAGTAAAACTGTAAAACCAAAACCCGTGAGAAATTCATACACAGCAAGCAGGGACATCGTCAGTTACCAAATAGGGGTAGGACAAGCTTTATTGTAGCTTCAAGGGTTTTCTTTTAAGTTCTTGAATCTTGATGCTTTCCAGGGTGCTGATACAAACCTGCAAGTTCCACTTGTCTTGACAGAGCTTCGGAAATGCATCGCCATCACATCTCCGCTGATCTTGTGTAGTACATCCTTGCCTCCTCACATCCATGGATGTAGATTATGGGGTGGTGTTTGGTTCCAGGCGAGTTCACTTCGCCTCCCCAGCGATAGCGATCAGGAACTTGCCAACCCGGGTGAGCCAATCTAGCTCGCTTGATGTGTTCTTTCCCTTGCTGCGAACTGAGCACATGGTGATATTAATATTACACGTCGTCACTGCGGCATTCTGCACAGCTGAGTGAGCAGGTTGTGTCCGCATATAGAAGTGCCAGATTTTTGTTTAAAAAATTTTAGGGAGATCCAAAGAAACACGTATTGCGATCTGAAAAAGCGCACATGGCCGATAATAAAAAAAAATGTCCACAAGGAAACACGTAGGCACACCACTTGAGTACAGTTGCTAGAATACCCTGCCGCGCTTTGTATTTCTGCTGGAGGCAACATACCAACAAAATTGCTTCAACTTTCCTCATGGCCGTGCACTCCTTCAGTCCATTTCAGCGTGCACAACTTTGATATGAAAAGCAACGCTATTGCGTTACAGATTGTTAGCTACGAATGCTCAATCAAGTTTCTACTCACTCAATATATGCTATTCACAGTTCAGAGAAGGCTATGAATAGAATATCCATCAACCAGATTTGCATGGCAATGACGTACATCAATCGCAATCACACAGATCTATTCAAGCAAACTGGTTTGAAAATTCCTGATGCATATTCAGTTCTCAGTTGAGACTTCAGGCACAAACCACGTTACCCTGATAACTGATCCAAACTTGCACTAAAAACAGAAAATTCTACTAGCGAACGGTAACAGAACAAGACTACTTGCATCACTTAACTGGAGTGCTGGACCTAACAAAGATATTTCAAGTCAAAACTCAATAAAGGAATTTCCAAGAATTTAGCACCCCATTAAGTATACGTCCTATAGCCAAATGCTAGCTCAAATGTAGGGATCAGCATGATCCACAGCTTAAGCAGTAGCTTGGAAGAAAATACAAATATATCATCACTAATGCTCACCACCATGAAATTGCAAATATGCCCACTGCTCGCATCTCACCCATATAAATTCAAAACAAATCACCTTTTGTAGATTGAATCTTCTATCCGCCATCTGATTATAACCAATGAACAATACTCGTGTAAGTGCATACACAATGGAATATCATAAAAAAGTAAAAGACAACATAAAGGCAATGTACATGAAAATATACAATTTAAATAGACATCTCTACATAAAGAGTTCTACATGAATTTGTTGTAGCAGGACGTGGTTGAGTAAAATTCAGATGTAATACTGAGTTGGATCCATTTTGTCCATTTTTTATGTAGATTCAAGTTGGTCCCAAACGATGAGGAGAGCCCTTAAAGGATTAGGAGACTAAGGTATTTATTATCTTCTATGTAACAAATCACAATGATATCACAAAAACAAATTAAGTTCATAAATCATTAATGTGCTAAGACCCAAGTTGCAAGAGGCATGGAACACATCTCTGCGCTGAACCTCAAAAATTGATTCATGCGTAAGTTCCCAATTTGGAGAATAATTCTGAGCAGAGATTTTTCATCCACTGCATTTGAGAACTCAAGTCCCTTCAACAAGACTAATATCTTAGTGATCAACTGCTAACAACATTAATTGTTGCTCGTCTAAGTAACCTTAATGAAACAACCATTGAAATTGATCTCTAATCGGTAATAAACTCACCAAACTGACCATCTCCTGTGATGCAAGCTACTTTAAAGGTGAAGCATATGCTCAAATGTTTATGCCAGTTACATCAGCCTAAGTAAATGAGAATCAAAGTTACAAGAGCTATCAATTCTACACGACAAATTCATCTAGAGATACACTAGTTAATACTTTAAACAAATGCCAGAGCCATCTAAGAAAGCATTACTGGTTGACATCGTATGTATGTATCAAGTACCAACACCACACTGATTATTCCTGGTCCTGGGTTAAATATGAATACAGTAGAACCTATTAGAAAATCCTACACTACAAGAACTATAAATTCTACACTACAAATTCATCTAGAATTCTAGATACACTAGTTGATACTTTAAGCAATTGACAAAGCATTACTAGTCAACATCGTATGTACATAGTAAGTACCAACTCCAAAACTAATCATTCCTGGGTTAAATCTGAACACAAAACTTACCACAAAATTATTAGTTGCAATCTAGTGAAGAAATACACATTAGACTAAAGGTGAAACTAAATAATTTAATAAGAGCAGAATTCATGAGATGCTACATCAACCCTGTGCCTCTTGTACCATCTATGACAAATTTGGCTGTCCCTGTAGTCACTAGACAAGTGAAGTTTCACACATGTGAAATCAAACTCCCACACAATCTGCACGCTTCATGTGGCTCCTTCTATAGATATGTGATGAAGTTACATCAAATTTTAATTGCATCTATGTCAATTTTTACTGCAGAGAAACATAACATTTCGTTCATTGGTTCAGATGTGAAATCCAAGTTTTGGACCTATGAGTTCTACAAATTGAGCAAATAATAATACACCAGACATCAAGAGGAAACATAATAACTCAAGTAGAATGTTATACCACATTAATCCAGAAAGGTTTAGTCCACTAAGCTGAGCAACAAATTAAGAACCTCCTTCTTTATGTCCCCTTGACGGACCTCCGCCTTCGTCTCAGCTACTCTTAGCTTCTTGATCTTGGATTCCAGACCTTCTGCCTTCTCATCAGCAATGGACCCAAATGCTCTCTTCAGAGTCTCCCCACATGGATGATGGGCCTCAATCTCCTCCACGTAAACAGCAAGGTTGGAATACAACTTCTGCAGCTCATCAAAACCTCTGCGCACACCTTGCACATTAGCATCTCCTTCTGTTTCATCATCATGAATTTCTCCTTCCTTACTCCTAACCAGAATGCCACCATTCTGATTTGCATTTATGGTTTCCTTTGGTGTCAGACTGTCCGTATCTCTGTCCATCTTCCCTTTGTCAGTTTTCCCCTTCTTGCCCTTGGCCAAATTACCAGCATCTTTGTTCAATTCCTCATTGTGACTTTCCTGCTTCTTACTCTTACTTAGGGAGGCAGTGGTGGCAGCCTCCTCTGACAAACTGGCCTGCCCCTTCTTACTTCCTTTCTGAGAATCACCACTTTGATTGGCAGTACTGGGGGCAGCCTCCTTTGCCGCGCCACCCTTTGCATTTCCATCCATCTTCTCTTTGTTAGCCTGCCCCTTCTTACCCTTTGTAACAGCACCACCCTTTTGAGACGTAACGGCAGCAGCAGCCTCCCTTGCCTTCTCTCCCCAGATTGCTTCTGAGAGATTATACATCTGGAGTCCATCTTCTGTACTTGGCACAATGCCCGTGCTCACTGCTTTCTCGTACCGTTCCTTTAGCCTTCGCACCTTCTCATAGATATCCGTGTAGGTGCAGTTCTTCCTGACGAGGCGGTCACGAACACTAGCAAGAAGTAAATCAGTCTTTGGCAGCTCACCCTCACTCTTGACATGCGCCGCAAGAGCCTCCAAGATCTTCGTCTCATCATCTTTCCCCCAGCGCACAGGCTTCTCAGACTTGCCTGAGGGCGTGGCCTCAGGAGCTGCCTTCTCAGCCTTGCCCTTCTTCGCCTTTCCTGCTGGAGTGGCATCAGGCACTGGTTTCTCTAGCTCGACCTTGCCCTTCTTCGTCTTTCCTACTGGAGTGGCCTCAGGCGCCGGCTTCTCTAGCTCGACCTTGCCCTTCTTCGCCTTGGGAGGAGGGGTAGCCTCATCCCCCGCCACAGCCTTCTCCTCCCCGGCCTTGGCCCTTTTTGCCTTCCCGGTAGGAGCAGGATCCGAGGCGGGCCTCTTCCTCTCCTGCTCTGTCTTGGACGCCCCGGCCTTCTTCTGAACCACAGGCACCGGGTTCTCCGGCTCCGACTCCTCCGACTCGCCCTCTTCCTCTTCCTCCTCCTCCTCCTCCTCCTCCTCCTCCTCCTCGGCATCGGATTCCGGCTGGGGGGCCGGGTGCGTATGCTTGGTGGGGGAGTGGGGCACCTGGCGCATCTGGAAGGATTGGACGTCGGTGTCGGATTCCGAGTCCGCCTCCGACGAGTCGGCGTTGTTGGCCGCGGCCTGCGGGGGCCTACGGTGCGCCGGGGGGCGAGGAGGCTCCTCCAACTCTTCGGAGCCAGATTCCTCGGAGGAGGACTCCTCCTCCTGCGGCGGCGGCGGCGAAGGCGCGCGGCGCTTGCGGGCCATCGCTCGCAGCTAGGGTTTAGGGGGAGGTGGGGAACGGGGAATGGGAAGATTCTGATGCGGGACGACTCGGTTGGGACTTGAGTGGAGGCCTCTTGGACGATGGGTTGGACGACCGTTGGAGTACTGGACTGCTGTGCCAGGTGTCCAGCGTTTGTATCGTGTTGAGCCGACTCCACGATAATCTTTTGCCAAGTTTTGTGAACTTTGGCAACATTTGAATTTATACTATACTTTTAAATATTTTATTACGTGTGGCATTGTTTTACAAGAAAAATGATTTTCACCTATAATGTTATGATACTTTGTAGCACATTAATCAAAGCCTAGGATGTGAAGAATCATCGATTTAGGAACGGTGTTGCATAGAATACATTAGGCAAAATATTTCTCCCCATAATAGTAGAATCCCTATCAATCCAAAATTGCTTCCAACGACATTCTCAATCAAGAACTATAAACTTTTGTTAGATTCACTTAGGTAGCATTTGGTTGAAGAGACAAAGTGGGACTGAATGGGATGGACCCGGGACAAGCGGCGTTTGGTTGAGGGGTGAGCAGGGCGAGGACGTCCCTCGTGGGAATATTCCTGTGAGATGCAGGGTGACCCGTCCCTAAAATTTTCGCGGACTGGGTGACTCAGGTGGGATGAGCGGCTCGCTGCGCGAAAGAAAGGAGAGGAGGAGTGCCGGTCGTGGCCGAGGGCGTGGGCAAGGGCTCTGTCATGGCCGTAGGCAAGGAAGGAGCGAGCGTAGCCGAGCTCGCCTGCGCCTGCCTACGGACGAGCTCCGGCTCGCCGCCACGCATGGGAGACGCTTGGCCTTGACTCCGCAAGTGTAGGGTGGGGCGGGGGGGCCGGCGTGTATCTGCAGGGGATGGAGGCGCGGGTGCGATCATCGGGTCATGGGGATGAAGGCGTGAAGTGTGTGGCAGGCTGCGGGGATGGAGGCGAGGGGCTCAGTCGCCCGCTACGGGGATGAAGGCACGGGGTACGATTGCCGACTGCGGGGATGGAGGCGCAGGGCACGGTTGCCCGCTGCAGGGATGGAGGTGAGGGGCACGGCTGCGCGGGTCGAGGCACGGGAGAGCAGGGGTGCAATTCCCAACCCCGCGCTTGGGCCAAAAATTCTGGAGCGGAGAGGAAGGAAAGAAAAAAACTGACAAATGGACCCCACTTGTCAGCGGGTGATCTCACTTTTGATGTTTCCGGACCAAACGGAAAATGGGTTGGTCCCATCTCCTTCAACCAAACAGAAATCAGAGTGGTCCCATCCTAGAAACCAGAGACGAAACCGTCCCCACCCACCTTGACTCCCAACCAAATGCTAGAGTATGTTTGGTTTTGGAATGAGGGGAGATGGATCAGGTCGATCGTAGTTTTGTATGATGGGATGATCCTATCTCACTGTTTGGTACGAGGGATAGCTCCTTTCCTATTGTGTGTTTGTAGAAGGGACAGGGTTTGGGGCAACTTGTCACTATTTTATCTCTGTTAGACTACCATTAGTGGGACCCAAATGTCAGCGTCTTTATCTTCTTCTTCCTGTCTTGCACCCGTCGCGTCCGACGCAGGTCCGCGGCCATCACCCCCGCCCCATGTTCACTACCACCACTGCCACCCTGACCCTGTTTGCCGCAGCCGCCCTTGCCTAACATGCGCCTTGTTCATTTGGCTGATAAGCCATGGCGAAAGTACTTTTGGCTGATTTGTTGTGAGAGAAAAATACTGTTTATTGGCTGAAAAGGTACGGTTTATAAGCCAAGGGCGATGGTCCCCTGCTACGGGATCTCGGTGTGGGGCAGACTTGATAGCGCTCGACGGTAGTTTTTTTTTGCTCCACTACCTCAAATAAAATAAAGAGGACATAGAAATAGATAGCGTGAAGAGAATAGGTAGCCAACAAATCGATGAACCAAATAGATAGCTTGATGAAAATCCGGAAGGCAAGGCATTCTGTGATCTGGAGGGCAAGGCATCCAGTTGGAGATGGTTTTCTTTTGCTCCACTAAAATAAAGAGTAGAGGGCAAATAGGTCTTTTTTTCCTCCGCTACTCAACGAACGAACAATATGTTTTTCTTTCACGATAAATCAGCATAAGCATCAGCCTAAGCCAAAAGTTCTGCTGAAGTGTTCTAAGGGAACATGGCAGTCTAATTGCTTTCTTCGTAGGACCCGTTCAGGACTTTAGGTAGCCCGGAGATGCTCTTAGTCTAATTGCTTTCTTCGCACAGAGCTGCCAGCTTCACCAGGCAAGATATCCATAATCAGTGAACGTCTCAGCACGTGATGAGTACATTGCACATCCAAACATCATATAGCTCAATGAAATTTTTTGTAAGCTGAATTATATTATTAAAAAACTGTTGTGCTTTAAACAAACAGCTGGCACAAAATATAACCTGTTCTGCAGGAGCAATCGTTGGACAGACATTCTTGAACTCAATTTCACATGAGCTTGCATCATATGACCCTCAGACATGTCTGGCATACCTAGCTGATAGCCTGTGCAGCACTGAATTTCACATGAGCTGGCACATATAACCATTGAATAACCAAAACGACCTATGCACTAGAACAGAACACAAAAAGAACATAAATAAACCAACAAACTATTGGTCTGAAAACACTACGAGCATAAACCAACATTGTACACTCTGGCCTTCAGTCTTGATAAAGCTTCAAACATAAATGCAGGCATGTAAAACAGCTAATTAAGTCAACCTCTTGCCCTCAAGTCACATTACAGACGGCACTCCTATTATTATATAGTAATTGGCACTACTGAAAGCGACAAATCAGCAATTCATCCGTTGCCACTCTTGCTGAAGATACTCATGCCACCTCCATTTAATCGTTGAAGTGTTCCTTACCTAGCAGCATGCAAATGTTAGTAGAATATCTACCTTAGCAACCATCATATATATTACTTCAAGATGAAAAGGATCACATTCTTATAATAACAAATTGTGATTAGCAATGTCAAACCAATGATACCTTGCAGAGAATTGAATTTCATATTTGTTCCCTATCAATTTCAATCTTAATTCTTAAAAATCTCAATTCTCATATATGGCATTTCCATCCAACAATAATCTATCCTAAACATGAGAACATCAGGTAAATATAGTTCTTACACAACAAATTCCAAAACAGGTACACCATGTGGAGAATGACTGAATGAGCATATGAAAACTCCAGCAACAGCTTAAGGACATAACTATGAGCTAGACGAGAGCCAATGAGCTAGTGAACTTGGTCCCTTATGATCAAGAAGGAAGACAAAAGTTGGCGCAAAGTCACTTTTAGCTAGCGGCAAAAGTTAGCATCGCAAATACTGCAATCTGTGATTAGAAAACAATGCAGTTTGTTCTTTTCCATGGATCGCCATAGCCTTTGGTCAGTATCATATATACTGAATAAGTGAATAGTACGAATCTGCAAGACTTCATCTATGGTAACTTACTGTATAGTGTGAAATATAACAGGCTCTGGTAAGCTATATCACTACTACCTCAATCCACACTATATCCATGAATTTTCACAAACTAAATTGCATGTTGCAAGTGTGCGACCTCAACTAACATTCTCAGTTATGCCTCTCATCATTTACCTTGCAATATAGCTCTTTATCAGCTTTGATTAACTGCTATGATGGAAAAACATTGAAAGGCTTGAGTAACTTATATGTCTGAAATTACTGGGAGAAAACAATGTGAATGTTGTAATTCGTATTGTTGATATTATAGATCTCCAGAATTTTTTTCTTTCCTGTACTATTCATTTGTTGCTCATCTGCCAATTAGCAGTATAATACTCCATCCATCCCAGAAATAAGTTCGTTTTGGACATGATTTAGGATACCAAGGAGTGATTAATTAGGGTCTATTTTTCCTGTTTGCCCTTATTAAATAGCATCTTGGCCATCCATTAAACAAATATCCATCTGAACCCTGTTGGTTACCAAGGTCCCTCTTAGGCGAGCGGGCGCGGTTCGATCCCTCGCTCATTCGTTTTTTAGGTGATTTTTGCATCCGCTGGAAACGAAAAGGCCACGTTAATGACTGCATGCACGGCGATTTTTGCATGCACGGGAAACGAAGGAGGCCGCGATAATGACTGCATGCGCGGTGATTTTCGCATGCAGGGAAACAAAGGAGGCCGCATTAATGACTGCATGCGAGGCCGCGGGGCAAACTCGTCTCAGTTACGGTAAACCAGCTAGAACGAATTCCTTTGCGAAAACTATCCAAACCTCCAGAACGAACTTTTTTAAAGGGATGGAGGGAGTACTGTAAACAAAGGTGGGAACCCAAAAATCTGTCAGATTTCGTCTTTACATTGATTATGTGCACATGATCCTTTTTCTAAGTTGAAATTACATATCATATATTCTTGGCTAAGAAGTAAATACAAACATGAAAAATCATCCTCCTGGTTAGCACACGTAAATAGCTTCGACAATGATCACAGAAAAAGATTTTAATATTTATAATTCAGGAAAGGTGCTAAAATTGTTGCTAAGTAAGCACACAATAAAACAGCCTAATCATGTACCTAAAATAAACTACAATCATTCTACAGCTAACAGATTATGATGGTGCCCTAAAGGAACAAGATAACACATTACCACAATGCAAATTGCAAAAACATTACCCTACACTATAGCACTACGCAGTTCATAAAAGACAAACCTCGTGGAATCATTCTGGCAGTGCAGGAAATACAGGAGGCCAGGTCATCATAAAGGGATGAATAAAAGAAATCAACGTATCCTTTTCTGTCACGTTGTGCACCTTTTGCAGTGCCCTGCTCCTAACATCCAAATAGAGAACACATCCATACATCTCCAGGAATACATATTCTGCATCATCCCCCACCATATGTATGTAAGCATCATCAAGGTCATCCCAATCCTCAGTGGTGCTATTCGATATTTTCAGATTAGCACACAAATCATGCAAAGAAATGGTATCAACCAGCAACCAGTCTCCTATGCTGCCATTGCAATCCCTGTGCAGCCAGATGCAAAGTTGGAGGTCCTTGACATGGCTAAGATAAACCCCACAGCCATTGGCCCGAGACAATATGATTTGTCCATCAAACGGCATCTTGTCAGGGAACTTGATTGTGGAGAAGGTTGAGGATGTCAAATCCAAAACAAGAATGCTGTGCGTAGTAATCCCCATGTAGATTTTATCTTCAGCAAGGAAAATACTCAATTGCTTCAACGACGACGCACGCAATCCGGAAATCTGTGTTGTAGCTGAAGTTTGCATTCTCCAGGCATTATCTTGCAGCCTATATACACATGCTGTAGCTTTCTCTTCCTTGACGCAATAATCCAATGAGACCGAGAAGTAGGACAGCCCATGCCCATCGACACTTTCTTTAGAGAGGATCTCACAGAAAATACGGTGTTTGCTGTAATTGTCAGTGTCAGGGACATCCATCATTGGGAGCTGCGGGAAGATAACCAAGTCTCTCGCAGGATGGAGCGGGCTGTGCACTCCGCGTTTGAAGTCGCCGCCGCAGAATAAGCTGACGATGACTCTGCCGTTCCGGCAGTCCAGGACGCGCGTGGATTGGCTGTCGTAGGTGTCCAAGCTGAAGCGCCCCCGGCGGAGGACGGCGGCGAGCTCTGGGGGCTGAGGCTGCATCGGCACAAAGTCAGTGCGAAACCTCCGTTGGAGGGTCGGAAAGGTGACGATGTAGAATCCGAGGAGGCGCGGCGGGTGGAGGTCGCGGAAGCGGCGGAGGAGGACGGGGTCGGACGAGGCGCGCAGCCAACGCCTACAGACGGCGGCGGCGCGCACGAGGTCGGTGGGGAACCCTAGGCGGAGGAGGATCTCGCCGAGGAGGTTGTCGTCGCCGAGCACCAATGAGATCGCGGCCGCCGCCACCGACGCCGCCGCCAGGGTGGATTGTGCCCTCTCCCTCTTCTCCTCCATCGCTGCGCGACCACGCAGGAACCCGATCGGGGAACACGAGCGAGCAGCCGAAACTCGGAGAGGGGCAGCACCGCGAGGAGGCTAGGGTTTAGAGGCAGGCAGGCAGACAACGGCGGATGGCGATCGAGATCGATTTGGGTGGGGGGAAGAACACGGGAGCTTCGGCGGCCTTGGGTTGGGCCGCGGAAACAAAGGGCCGCTATGGGCCATGGCCAGTTGGGAAACAAATAGGCGCCTGTTTTCATGCTGGTTCGTCCTTGACCCTTGGCCGGTTGGCCCAATGTGGCTGCTTCGTGCTCGGCCCCGGCTCCAGGTCAGGTCCGAACCAGTTTGACCGGTCATCGGTCGACGTGCCGCCTGTGCCCACTCCTCACTTCCTCAGTCTGGCCACCACGTCTGCCATGCCAGTTGCCAGGGTCGGCGTACCAGGAAGCACAGAATCCGATTTTGGGCCCTTCCCTTGCCATGGCATTTCCTGGCCGTCTAGGCCCAGTTTAGTTGCTGAAAATTTTGGCAAAATGACGCTGTAGTATTTTCGTTGTTGTTTGGTAATTAGTGTTCAATCATAATCTAATTAGGCTTAAAAGATTCGTCTCGTGGATTTCGTCTAAACTGTGTAATTAGTTTTATTTTTTATTTATATTTAATGCTTCATGCATGTGTCCAAAGATTCGATGTGGCGGGGAATCTTGAAAAATTTAGCATTTTGGAGGGGAACTAAACAGGCCCAAAAATGCACTATGCAAAAGAAAGATTATCCATCACATCAAACTTACGGTATATGCATGGAGTACTGAATATAGGCGAAATCAAAAACTAATTGTACAGTTTACTTTAATTTTGTGAAACGAATCTTTTGAGTCTAATTAGTCAATGTTTAGATAATAATTTACAAATACAAACAAAATTTACAGTGAGGAATTTTTTACTATGCAAAGTTTGCACCTCCAAAGTTTGCCGAACTAAACGGGCAGCTGGATGCTATTCTATTCACTGTGCAGGGACTAGGTAAGAAGATGCAGGGAATAATGGCAGGTGCAGCTGCTTCCCGTAGCTCCAGTCCACGTGAAACAGCGGTGACTCACTCGGGCCCTCACGGAACCAGTTGCAGTGTAAAGGCGTTCTCAAGGTGGGGTGGGGTGGGATGGTTTCAATAGTTCGTGGAATAGGATGACTTCATTTTTTTTTTGTTTGGTTGACGATAGATGAGGTCATTTCATTTTTTGTTTGGTGTGGAGACTTCAAAAGTGGATCTGTCAGTAACAAATGGGACTCATTTATAATTTTTTTTTCTTCCTCTCTCTCCCCTTATCCTCCCATCACAATAGCCGCTCCCACCAGGCCGCAACCCGCCTCCACCGCGAGCCGCGCGCCACCTCGCCGGTGAGCCTGGCCGCGAGCCACCCGGCGCCTCCTCCTCCGCGGTGGCAGGGCCGGCCCCAAAGCTCGTGCACCTGACGGGGGCGGAGCTCGCCGGGGCCGGGCACGATGGCGCCAGGGGCGGAGCTCGCCGGGGCCGGGCACGCCGGTGCCAGGGGCGGAGCTCGCTGGGGCCGACCACGACGGTGCAGGGCGCGGAGCTCTGCTCCCATGGCCGCGCGTGGTGCCTGTGGATCTCTGTCTCGCCGGATCTCCACCTCCGAAGCTCGCCGGACCTCAGTCGCCCATGGACCTCCACCCCTGCCGGCCTCCACCGCGCCCAACCACGGCCTTCTCTCTTCTCTTCTCCGCGTCGCTCTTCTTTCTGACAGTGCGCGCTCGCGGCTCGTCCCACCTGGGGTGTTCCCGTCCGTGAAATTTCTAGGGACGGGGACGCCCGGCATCTGATGGGTATCTTCGCATGTGGGATGTCCTCGACCCTGCTGGACTCCCAACCAAACACAGCTCGTCCTAGGTCCGTCCCATCCCATCCCACTTCGTCCTGCAACCAAACACACGGAACACCCAACCCAGCACCACCTGTGCTCGTGCCTTTGGAACCACACTGCAGAAAACGCACTGAGCTAATAAGGCGGCACAAGACCTGGATGGAACGGGAAACGGACGACTGGATCGACGAGGAGCCTACGCAGGAACTTCGTGATGCCGAAACCCTTGAACGCGCCAGCGGCACCACGAGACGCGCCAGGCCGCCGATCGATCGGCCCAACCCCCGACCCCGTTCCCGAACAAGAAAAACCAGCGGCAGAGCGCGCGCCGACGCGCTTTCCGGGAGTGGCAAGCTCCAGCTCGCTCGTGCAGCCTCATTCACTCGCGCCACCCGCCCTGGCGCCGCTTGCTCCTTGCGAGTAGCCACTCTGCTGCTCTGTGAGCCTACAAACGGACCCCTGGCAGGCAGCACCGGAAAAAGAAAGGGAGAACGGAATCTCCCAAGGCCGGTGCGAGCACATTCACTAGCCACCCCTGCTCTGTGCTCTCCCCGATCAGGATTCAGGAGCGCGCCATCGTCCGCCGCGCCATGGACCACCACCTCCTCGCCCGTCGCCTCGGCGCGCCTCCTCTCCTCGCCATCCTCTCCTGCCTGGCGCTCATTCTCGCCGGGTGCAGGAGCAGCAGCGCGCACGCAGGCCCAGCCCCGCGCCCGGTCTTCGCGTTCCCGGCCGCCGCCGCGGCCACCAAGGCGCATGCAGTGGCACGCCACCACGAGCGCCTGCGCGTCGCGCTAGACGCCGCCGCCACGCGCGTCGGCGAGGCGCTCGGCGCGCTGGCCGCCGTCACGCCGGCCTCCTCCTCCTCGTCGCCGGCGCTCGCCGCGGCCGCCCGGGAGGACTGCGCGGAGCTGCTGGACGAGGCGCTCCAGCTCCTGGCCGGCGCGAGGGCGGCGCCCCGAGCGGCCCGGGGCGACGCGCTCACGTGGCTCTCCGCCGCGCTCACTAACCACGACACCTGCGCCGACAGCCTCGCCGAGGCCGGCGCGCCGCTCCAAGCGCACCGGCACCTCGCCGCCGCCCGCGGCGTGGTCCGCGACAGCCTCGCCATGTACGCCTCGTCCACCACCGCTGCAGCGGAGGCCGCCACCGCCACCGGAGCAACAACCGAGGAGGCCGGCGGCGCGGCGGGCCTCGTCCGCAGCAGCTGCAAGAACGAGACGGCGAGACGGCAGGGCCCGTGCGGTTTCCCTCGGTGGCTGCCGGCGAGGGACCGGCGGCTGCTGCTGGCCCCCGCGGCGTCGCTGGCCGGGAGCGCCGACATTGTGGTCGCCAAGGACGGCACGGGGACGCACGCCACCATCGCCGACGCCGTCAAGGCGGCGCCCGAGTGCAGCGAACGCCGGACGGTGATACACGTCAAGGCGGGGCGGTATGACGAGAACGTCAAGGTCGGGATGAAGAAGACCAACCTGGTGTTCGTCGGTGACGGCAAGGGCGTCACCGTCGTGGCCGGCAACCGCAGCGTCGCTGACAACTACACCACCTTCCGCACCGCCACCTTTGGTACGTGACGCCATGATCATTTTCATTCTCACTTTCATAGAAACAGATTTTTTTAACGGAATCGAAAGCGTAGAAGTATCATTCAAAGCTTGCATTTGCTCTGTTACAATAACTTGTAGCAGTAGCTTTCTGAAAGTTTCGTGAAGTTGGTAAGCTTTCTGAAATGGCTCGTTTGGAAGTGAAATGGCAGTATTTCATCTGCATGAACTTGGAAAGGTTGGTGAGTTTTGTGAAATGTACCCGATGGGAGAAATATGCGGCAGTAATGCCCATACTCTGTTTGTACATGGGGACGACGACATGGTACAGCTGCCAGTTGGTGTGGGGTAGTAGCAGTAGTGGCGGCCTTTAACTGATGATGCGTGTTACCGATGGCCCGGTGAGGTGGGGTGCCGGGCACTTGGCTGCTGCATGCTGCGACGACCGACGATGTCACGTCGCCCTGATGGCTCTGCAATTCTGCCACGCATTTCTCTGTGCCATGCTGCGTGCCTCTACATGTCATTGCTTGTCACGGTCTTTTCCATTTGTCTTGGTACATACAACAAGAACAACGTATATGATGGATCCCACATGCATGTAACATGTTGGGCCGCTTGATGGACGTGCAGCCGCGTCAGGGTTCGGGTTCATGATGCGCGACATGACGGTGGAGAACTGGGCGGGGCCGGCGAGGCACCAGGCGGTGGCGCTGCGCGTGAGCGCCGACCGCGCCGTCGTCCACCGCTGCAGCATCGCCGGGTACCAGGACACGCTGTACGTGCACTCCAACCGCCAGTTCTACCGCGACTGCGACGTCTACGGCACCGTCGACTTCGTCTTCGGCAACGCCGCCGCCGTGCTGCAGCGCTGCAACCTCTGGGCGCGGGTGCCGCTGCCGGGCCAGAAGAACACCGTCACCGCGCAGAGCCGGAACGAGTCGTGCCAGCTCACCGGCATCGTCCTCCACGCTTGCCGCCTCCTGGCCACGCCAGCAGCGGAAGAAGGCCTCGTCGCGCCCACGGCGTACCTGGGCCGGCCATGGAAGCCCTTCTCCAGGGTGGTGGTGATGCTGTCGTTCATCGGTCCGCACGTGCCGCCGCAGGGGTGGCTGGAGTGGAACGCCAGCAGCACTCCGTACGCACTCGACAGGCTCTACTTCGCCGAGTACATGAACTACGGGCCCGGCGCGGGGGTGGCCGGCCGCGTGCCATGGCCCGGCCACCGCGTCATCAACAGCACCGCGGAGGCGGAGAGGTTCACGGTGGCGCGCTTCATCGACGGCGCGTCCTGGCTGCCGGCCACCGGGGTCTCCTTCGTTGCCGGGCTCTCGCTGCTGTAAGCAGCCTGCGTGCGTCTGCCGTCTGCGTCGTCTTGATGGAAATCTCAAGGCATACCACCGCACGCACCAGGCAGGCTGACAAGTAGACGTGGAATTGTACCTACCTACATGTGGGATGTACATTGAGTGGCGGCAGTTCAAGTCATTTTGCAGTGAGATTTCAGATAACAAATTTGCAGCATAAAAACTGATCTGATTGCTTCTTGCGCTCCCTGCTGCGTCGGCTACCCTGAGCTGGCTCCATGAACTTGGCAAATGCAAATACCGTCTCAACAATTTCTCCCACATTTCTACGTAGTTCACAAGAAGTCAAGAAGGTGGATTCAGACACCGCCGCCGCCGACGGCCATATTCACTCCGGGGCGCGCTTCATCACCGCCTGCAGAGTTCAAGTGAAGTTGAAGGCAGCCGCCGCCAAGGCCACCGGTTTATCCCGTGAAGATCCACTATACTATTCGGTGAATACAGAGATGGTCAGGATATGCAAGACTAGGTTCCGATGCCCGCTAAATGGCATATTGCCCCGTTCACTTGCTGATAAGCCATGACTGAAAGTACCGTTGACTGATTTGTTGTGAGATAAAAATACTGTTCATTGACTTAAAAAAGTACAGCTTATAAGTTGACAATAACAGTTCACACAACGGTCATCCATTGCACTCATAAGTTGTTTTGATGAGCTTTTCAACCACTGAATCATTCTGTGATGGCAACAGTCTTTTGGGAGAGGCAAGACCGAGACTCACTTGATAATGAAAATTCAACTCGGCCGTCTTAGTTCCAACATCTAAAGAAAATACAACATGCTTAGGGCAGTTCAAGTACTGCCTTTCAGTTATCTGCGGCATCTATCCTACATACATTCCTACATAAACTGATTGTAGAGCAATCAATGTTCATGCGCCACAGTCAAGCGACATCCATATCAACAACAGTACCAGACTATCACCTACAAGTCCATCGAAAGATGTTACATAATATAAAACGTTCAGATGCAATCATTTGGTTTTAGCCCCATCTGCATTTTTACGACCATCATCCAAGTACACAGTGGTAAAGAAGGTGCTCTGATTCTTCTGAATAAACCTGACAGAAAACCCATCGGAATGGTTTAAGTTAAGCTAAAAAAAAGGTTGGCAAGCATAACTCTGAAGCAAGAAAGCATACTTGAGAATGTCCAGCAATTTTATCTGTAGCTTGTTCAGCGCATCTTCCTCCATATTGACAAAAGCAAGTAACTCTGGCAATTTCACTGCAAACTTGCAAGTCAGAAATTTAAGATATTTGATATTTTATTATGTAAACAAGGGCATGTGGCATGGTTCCATACTGAACATGCTTGGGTAATAGCCATATTAATATAACCAAGATATATCAATTATAGTAGCCATTAGATTACTAGACTAGATAGGAATATCGTGTGCTGAAGAACAAATCAACTTGTCATGTTTGTAATTTTTGGGTTGTCTTCTTGAACTGAAGCCTTGTGGGCTAATTACTGTATCAACATGGTACATTCATCATGACAAAGCACATAAAGATCCCCATAATTCATCAAGAGGAAGGGGGATCTGATACACGGATTATTTCCCACCAACCCACACAATCAGCATGTATTACCAATCAGCAGTGGACCTTCGGTTTTCAAAAGTTCATTCAAACGCCTAAAGAACACAAAAGACAAAAAAATCAGAACACCTGAGCAGTCTACTAGAATACTACTCTCTAAATTCCAAGTACGTATTTTTAGTAGTACCATGACAAACAAAATATATTTTTAGGGAAAACCTAATTTTCAAAAGTTTCTATTTGTTTTCAGTTTACTTTGCAGACGCATTTAATCTGTTACCCCTTCCAGTGCAGATTGAATTTTTAAACTGGAAATTTGGAGGATGGCAGACCACCTTGCTTTTTTTCCCCCCTCCATACACTTAAGGCTCTCCTGTATCATAAGGAGGCCACTTATTACCGTTTGGAATTAAGCAAGAAAAATATCAAACTAGTTAGTAGTCAACTCTACTCCCTATGCCTATCTCGCTCTCCCAAGTCCCTTCACCTTCTGCCATCAACATCTCTGGACTACCACTCAGCACAGTGTAAACCTTGTAACCATCTAAAGACACATGAAGACGATCCCACGGGAAGCAAGAAAATATCAAACTAGTTAGTAGCCAACTCTAGTCCCTATGCCTATCTCCCACTCCCAAGTCCCTTCACATTCAGCCATCAACATCTCTGGACTGCCTCTCAGCACGCTGTAAACCTTGTAACCATCTAAGGACACATGAAGATGATCCCACGGGCTTAAGTGCAAAATTCAAAGGCATGTTATGCAAGATTACAGTAACAATAGCAGTGGCCACATTACCAGTGAGCAAGATATACAGTACGTGTGGGAACAGAAACACTGTAATATCAGCAGCTATAGCATAATCAATAGGATTTTTTTTTTCATTTTTACCACTAAGTCAGAACACTGCAATATCAGCGCATGGTTGGATGCTTTTTTGTGGGTGACATTGTACGTTAGTTTGGGGTGTGCCAGTTGGATGAACCCTGTGTGTTCAGTTCAACGTGGCTGTCTTAGGGTCGCTGCGTTTTACTGTCGTTGTTTCGTTGCTTTCAAGTAACGAAATTCGGTTTGGGCTGTGGTGGAAAAAAAGTCAGAACTCAGAAAGTTCTCACTTCCCCAATTTGAATTCTATTTTGCAAATGGGTCCTGAATAGAAATATGGGCTCCACTAGTAGCAAGGAAAATGAAAAGAATAAACACCTTACTGGAAAAACAAACAATTTGATAATACAACAAACATAATTGTTCTGACCTCTTCCAGAGCATTTCAACAAGCAGAAAGAAATGATCAAAGAATAAACCAAAAACACATAAGAACTCATTTAGTGGACAAATGGACATACCAAAAAGGCGCAAAAGGTGCTCAGCTCCATATACAGTTGACGGTGAGACATCACCTTTAACTTCTTCAGCATACTGATCTCGCTCTTTCTTATATAAAAGCATTGAAGGCAATGCTTTATCAAAGTAGCAGCGTAATCCTTTCAGAATCTCAGCATAGGAGTCATTTATCCTTCAACACAAAGAAAAGCTATAACTATAGAAGAGCCAAACAATGCTGGAATTGACAACCAACCAAAATGAAACAAAAGGACTGAAAAAAACTAGATAAATGGCAAGTGGGATAAAATGGAATTAGGAAAACTGTAGCACAAAGCGCAATAAAAAAGTAAAAGCATAATCATAGCTATCAATATGAATAAGCAAACTGGAATTTATCAGCTTAAGCTATCATCACATTCATTGATGTAGTTGAGATTACTCAATCCAACAGCCAACTAATGCTATATATGTTAACATTGTTTGCATGACTAAACGAATGCCATGACATACTAAACATTATATTTGTTTCGGTTACATGGTAACAACAATACAATCAAACAGCAAAGGACATCCAACTGACTATTAAAGTATTGCTAAAACTAATGAAAGAAAGCTGTCTAACTGGAAAAGGAATTTGCAGGGGCAGGAGCCAGCTTTGCACAGTCAACATTCTGATGGAAACAACCCTTGCTGCTACGCGTAAGTAAATTTGAATTATATAATGGTATACAAAAGGGAGCATGGTTCAGGTAAGGCTATTGCACTAGACCATGAGCAAATTATGCATACCGAAAAAGAATTCATGTCAGCAATAGAACACTCACTTGCCATCCTTCTTTGCCCGGTGCTCCAAATACTTCTTTAGAATATCATCAACAGTAGGTGATCGTGGTAGCTTCACAAGCTGCAGACCAATGAAATCTCAGGTAGTTGTGCTGAACAAAAATTGCGATGCAAATATGGTTATCTATTTCCAAGAAGACTTTCATCTGGTGTTCAGATCAGTTTACCACTAAGATTAGCTTGTTTTCTTTCAGCTGATATACAAATTCCCTATTTATCAGTGGGTCCAGAAAAACATGAATCCAAGCTCAAATATTACAGTGTTCTTTTGGATCCTATTGCACGGACAAATCGTTCTTGAGGTTTGTTGCTTTGGAAAAATAAATAAATATGGAGAATGTTTGGTGCATTCTTTGGATCATTGTCGGGGACCAATACTGGGGTACCCGAAGAGGAGCTAATAACCATCAACGTTGATTCATCCGAGCGGTCAAGAGCGCGACTACCCCTCTTGTTGGGCTCCGCCTCGTCTGACCACCGAGGCCATGGGCTCCGCCTCGTCCGACCCCCAAGGGTCGGCTCCGCCTTGGTGGACACTGAGGCCGCGGGCTCCGCCTCGCCCGACCCCCGAGGGTCGGCTCCACCTCGGCTATCTTCCAAGGGTTGGCTCCGTCTCGTCCGACCCCCGAGGGTTGTCTCCACCTCGCCCGACGTCCGAGGGCTAGCTCCGCTTCGGCTGACTCCCGAGGGTAGGCTCCGCCTCGCCTGACGTTTGAGGGCCGGCTCCGCTTCGGCTGACTCCCGAGGGTAAGCTCCGCGTCGGCTAACTCGCGAGGGTAGACTCCGCCTCGGCCAACGTCTGAGGGCTGGATCCGCCTCGCCCGATCCCTCAGACACGGTTCCTAACGGAAGCTCACGTTACCGCCAACCACTACGGGACAGAAAGTACTACTCAAGGTCAAACTTCTGGCATCGTGTAGGCCGGTCACATCTCAGCACGACATGTCATTACGGGGAACTCACATCGCCCACAGTGACGGACGTGTGGTCACTGTGCTGCCAACTCCTTGCCTGACCCCCGTCCAACGTCAGTCGACCGATGTCAGTTGACTGGCACTGTACTGCTAGCCCCCTCATGGCCCCCGTCAGGGGACTCTTTGACCATTCCGTCCGCTCGGATGGGATGGAAGACAAGAACGACGCATGACGCCCGCACGCATGCTGCAGCGGCCAACAGGACTCCGGTACGACGCTGCTGCTACCACGATCTACAGGGTCAGCGGGACCCGCGCGAAGAGGAGAACGACACACCTCCGGGAGC